TACGTCGTAGTTCTGTTTTAAAAGTCGTTAAGTACACAAAACACGTCAAATTTTATTCATCCTGCGCGTTAGTATTATTATTTACAATATTATAGTCGAAAAATAATATGAAATCTGTCAGATTACCTAGTATAATTATTATTGTTTATTATTTTCGTTATCGTTATCGTAGGTAACACATCAATATAACAATAGAATTAAACATGGATGAACATCAATGCTATCGATTTTTTTTGTGTTTTTTTTACTTAAATTTTTATATATCAAAATATACATCTATTACTCTTATTTTATTTTTATTTTTTATTCACTTTTATGTAATTTACAAGGCACACCAGATTGAACATATAATAATACATTTATTTTTATTTTGTACATTTAGCTTTGTTTTTATCATGGAAGTATATTATGTTAATATTATTATATGGTACATGTAATTTTTATAGTTGATTGGGCCGGAGTGGAGGTGGCGGGGCTTAATATCCCCCCTTTTTAAAATCGATTAAATACCTACTGTTCAATAATATATAATAGGTACTATCGCTTACGCGAGGGGAAATTTCACACTTATTATATTATTATTTATTGACATAATATGGACATTTCGCCCACGGTAAAAAATTGTTAATTTTGTTCTACGAAAAACAAATTCGATTTATTTACCCCGCTTTTAGAAAAATACTATACAATACTACTACATTTAAAAATGGAATTACAAATTTCATCTGGTCGACATCGCTCTACATAAATGCTAGAAATAAACACTAGTAATATTATTTAACTGGCTCTAAGTGTAAAAAAACAATCTTCAGTCTTTTTCTTACATATATATATATATATGTATAAAAATTATAGAGTTTTATTCAATGTAAGTGTGTGAGACATAGAGTAAAAAAAAACTGAACTACAAGCTTGATTGTTATACATAATATCATATAATATACGCGAAGAAAATAARAAATATTATACAATATGACGAGAGGGTGGCACCAATTTAAATTATTATTTCTAATCTATAAATGCTCAAATAGAAAATAAATTCCTGTAATTTCTTTTTTAAACGTAAGCTCGTATATTTATAAAAAAATGTACCGATGAGTTTTAACGAAGCTACCTGGAAGGAGTGGTTTTGTTCATATAATATATAATCTGGAAAATGTCGGCCTCTGGCTATTTTATTATATAAATGGAGAAAATTGTTTGTAAATAATTGTCTTTATAAAAATTGATTATTTTACCTTGTGCTTGGTTTATAGATTTGACGTTAAATATCGCCTTAGAAATATTAAACATGTATAAAATAAACCTATTTATAATAATATATTTATGTATTATATGACATAAAAATACGTTTAAACATTATACGGCAATTTGTATAATGTATAAAATATCCATACATTTAATGTATAGATTCTTGACAATAATATTAGGTTAACTAATTAAACATTTATAATAATAATTTCTCTTAAAATTAAAATTGATTAATAAACTTATTGTACACATGACTAGAGATGCGTGGCTGTTATTAAAATTATGATATAAATTCTTTATAATAATATAATATACTAACCTAAAATGTAAAACAAAAAAATAAAATTACATTATAGACTAGGCATATAATATATATAGATATTATATTCATTATCGATAATTCATTAAATAAATATATATATGATAATAATATTATACGGATAAAAATAAAAACATATTAATTATAGTATCATATAGTACGTAATCGCATTTTATACGTTTAAAAAGTTATTTAATTGTTATAATTTTTTTTATTAAATATATATAATACAACAATAACCACTTAATTTATTAATAATTGGATGGCTATTTTATTATATATGTATTATTATGATATTTATCTTATAATATAAGTTACAGTTTAGATACTTTATTCTTTTCCGCGTATAATATGTTAAACCTACCAATCAGCAGGTTTTCTTCTAATTTAAATAATTTTACCCACTGGGTTTCTTGCACATAATTTAATTATTTGCACTTTTGCTTTGGGATAGTTGCTAGTTAGTTTATCAAATATATCACATTTAAACTGCCCAATATTTTCAATGTTTGGCACAAAATGTATTTTACTGAACCCATTTATAATCATTAAAATAATATCTAGGTAAACTTCTTGAGTATTTCGACTTTTAATTGCCCAAAAATAATTGTCTAGAATTAACGTGTTGATAACTACTACGATTTTCGATCGCTATAAAATAAATTAAAATCTAAAATATTAAACAAACAATAATTTGCATTCACAAATAAAATAAATAATCGAAAAAAATATATAATAAAATTGAATAAAATAAAATTGAACTAAACAAAATAATAATACATAATTTATGCGCTCGAGATGCGATTGCACGGTCGTAACCTGTAGGTATACAACATAATAGTATAAGAATAATWGGTGTAATAATAATTATAATATTATATTATATGTACAGGCTCGTATAATATTCGTATAGGTAAATCAGGTAAGTATTGTTACAATATTTTGCGTCGGTTATGATGATAAATTGGTAATGGTATGTCGGTGTCGATGTGCATAAAATGTAATTCAAAACGGCCGCGTCTGTAAGTTTCGTTTATTTCCGAAGGGCGAATATCGATTGATTGAATTACACAGACATATTATAGTACATTACGCGGCCGATTATTATATGCATCACTTTTACYTACGTAGTATAATATTATGTACAATAAGTGATCGACACCATCGTCCACAGTTCAAAATATATGGACGAAAAGCTTAAGTGCGCGCGTTTCAATTTATTTTTAATCCACATATATTATACCGCGGGCTTTCCACGCCGACGGCCACTACCTAAATACTACATGACGATTCATATATATTATTACAATAATTATTATCTATATAATATAATATACTTAAAGTCTAAAGTTTTTTATAATTATTAAATTATAATAATAATTTTTTTGGTAAGCTGTAGACAATTTCGTTTTTGACGACGACATATAGTTTTTTTTTTTTGTTTTTTTTGTTTTTTTTGTTTTTACTATATTATATTATTATTTTACAATTAATATTAGTGTTATAATGTTATTTAATAATCGAACGTACTCCTAAGTTTTATATTTAATAAGTTTTTGTTGTTGTTGTTGTTGTTGTTTTTGTTTCGCCTGTCGACGAGAATGACGACGACGACGACGACGACACACTACCGGTGTCCCTGACTCTGAAAAATTCGTAATCTAGGACGGAGGGCACGGGCTGCTTTGAATTGACAATGCTACTGTAACCGTGCTTCTTGCAGCGACGCCGCTTGTTGGGCAGCAGCTGCGGTGTACGGAGACAGGCCGGTGAACGCGCTGGCCGAACTGGCCGCTGTCGGCAGACCGGCAGTACTGCTGGGCAGTGCGGCGTAGGAATACGGCGTCGCGTAGTTGGCGACCCCTGTTCAAAAAACAAAACGAAACATCGTCATTAGACAATACATCATTGTAAGTATACCGACCACTTGACCAGTATTATGATAATCACACGACAATATAATATAATGTTTTATTATATTATTATATTGTATTTAAACCTCCACAACGCATCATGCAGCATATGCGACGGAAAATTCAAAACACGCACGTCACGCGATATCGTAATATATATGCCATCGATATGCAAAAGAGAAAAAAAAATACGGTCTCGATCGTTTTTTGATCGGTGAGGTAATATAACACTAATGGTATAATAACATATAAATAAAATCTAGTAACGGSGTGAGCAAGTAAGAACAATGTAATTTATCGAACGATCGTTACACTGCAGCTGCAGATATCGTACAATAATAATATATGCTATGATTTTTCGAAAAGTCTCTTTTTTTTCCCATTTGATATTTTCCAATAAACTATCGTATTATACCCAGCCCGGCCCCAAAATCTCGGATTTTGAATTATTTTCAAATAGATATAGGTAATTATCAGGTAAATCGTATAGAAATATACTATCGACCATTGATATAAAGTAACCATCGCAGACGATGTCGTTATAAAGTTTGACGTCAGTTTAATATTGACGACCGTATTACGTTATTCACAACATAAACCAAAAGTCAAGCATTACGTGCACTCTATTATTTTTCAACCAAATCAAATTATTTTTAAATTAAATTAAACGATCGTATWTTTCKGTCACAGTTCGTTTAATCGTRCGCACGMAATTAAACATAAAACAACAATAAAATTGTAATAGTTGTCTTATAAAAAGTAAAAACTATTCAGCATTGTACCTATTACTTACTCAGTATGCATTAAGGTATATTATACCTATGTATAGTGTATAGATGGTAAGAAATTACAAATGGTGTAATGAAACAACATACATAGRTAAGGTGTATTATGTATTTGTATATGTACTAGCTGAGTTTTTATGGAAAAGACTGATCGAAATTTATAGCTTAATCTAACTTAGATGCTAGAGATTGCAGTAAACTAGCAAAGCAAAGTTGGTTTGTGGTTAGGACTCGCGACCATGATAAAGAATATCGAAAGCAATTCATTGAGACAATTGATCAGTTGATACGTCAACGGCGACGAGAGATAACCTTAAAGTGACTTAATCTATGTCTGAATGAAGGATGTTCAATTTCCAGCATTATGAACTTTTTTGAGAGGAAATAGTCGTTTAGAAGTGAAACTGGACTTGTCATCAAAGTTACTGATTGGTTTCGTAAAATTAACACACACACACCATACAGAGGTGTCAAGAACTTGTGCCACGTTCCACGTTACCACAAATGTACGAAGGAAGAAGGCAGTGGATAGGTAGGAAAACATTTTACACTTTATATAACTAATATAACTATATATGATAATACAATTTTTCTGGTTTTTGGTTAGGTTAGGTCTGGTTTTTGGTACATTTTTTGATGTTTCCAGCATGTGGAAATGCGCTCTATCTATCGTAAAATATTACTGTAGAACAATGAAGAATAAAAATAATTACCTGCGGCTGCTGATGTGTACGGGTCGAACGATGCAGCGGCCGCGGCCGCGGCGGCGTACTGCGACGGATAGGACGACAGGGCCGCTGCGGCTGCTGCGGCCGCGGCGGCGTTTTGGTACTCGTAAAACTGCGATGTGGCCGCGGCCATCGCCGCGGCGTGCGTTGGGGCCAGTGGCATGACGCCACCGCCACCTAAGTACGCCGCGCTGGCCGCTTGACCAGCTTGGTACAGGTAGCTCGGCTGCACCCTGAAACACGGTCGTGGTCGATTAAAAACGTCGCACTCGACAAGTCTATCGGACTACGCATTATAATATTACATTAAAATAATACAATATGTATCAGACCGCTCTACACGCAAAACGTACTACTAAAATTATGTTTTTTTTTTTTGTGTGTAATACAATCATTTAATAATATCATATTGTGTTTACATTTTATTTTTTACGCATCAACAATTTAACTCATGTATTACTATCAGTCTACATAATATTATTATTGTGTGTATGTGTGTGTTTTAACTTGAAACATGTATTGGAGTCATTATCACGTGTAATATATATGTTTAAGGGAAAATTGGCATGTCCTAAACAACGTTCGAGTCCCCAGTGTTTCCGTCAACTATAATACTACACTTGACGACCACAGTGGATAATACTATATAGCACTATCATGTACTGTCGCGACACATTCGCTGTAGCTGTTGGTTTGTTTTTTTGTAAAATTTTTCCAAGCATAATACTATATAGATTTATTTTTATAATTTTTCATTCTAACGTCAGTTCGTGTTATTTACCCGAAACATTCGAGTGGAATATTTTTTAAAACATTCGATCTGTCCACTCAAACACTTTTATAAGTACTTTTTATACGATATTATGTCGAATTATGTAATATGTGATCATTTAATACTTTTGTCTGAACACACTGGTGTTGTTTGGCTCAAGAATGTTATAGATTTTCTTAAAAATAAATAAACTTTATAATTCACGTACCCAAAATGTTACGCGTTATCCCTAATATTAAAAATCCCCAAAACTATATGTATTTTACTTAAAAACTTTCCACATACATTTGCTTATAATTAGGCGAGAAGCCAAATTTACACACAACTAGGACAGTGCAATATATAATGCATCGATATAACTATTTCAAAAAAGTGATATCATTGATTTTAAATCCATTTTCAAACTTAAAGAACTTATTTCCGCTGTGATATCGAAAATAATTACATGTCACAATTAAATTAACTTTCTGCTTTATTTTGCTCAGGTTCCTTCTCGGTCTTCTTGGTCTTTTCCAAGCTAAACTGTTTTTAGTATAATTTTGTAATCAATCCAAAACGGTACTGGAAAGGGACCGCCTGTGAGTTATACGTTGAATTAAAATTTTTGCATAATATACAATTAAATTGAAATTGACTATACCAAACCCCTTAAAAAGCTTTTCAGTATTCATAACGTGTCGCCCCGAGTTTTACTATATCCATCCGGTGGATTATTTCATCTGTTACACGCGACTGAGAGATAAAGTCGATGCGGTTGTGTGATGTGTATTAAACGGTACAGCGTACAAATTATAATATTATATATAATCCATTCAGATTCTAAGCTAAAGTGACGAGTGACGTATGTACATTTGACGTTACGTTACGATAGAAGGATACCTA